TGAGCACTAGCATCCTGTCCCAGGGCAGCCATGGTTCTTGAGGGTGGAGATATCTCCAGAGCAGGTGTAAGATGGGCAGGAGCCAGCTAGGTCTGCTGGGTTAGGTGCTAGTGCCCCAGAAAGCAGTGTCTGGAAGGGACAGGAGGATGCCCTGGGAGGGTAGTACACCACAGGTTGTGCAATGTGCTGGGCAGGAGGCGTAGGCAGCACTCACTGTTCTCAGGGCTGTCACTTCTCTTGCAGGATCTTCTCACATCCCAACGTGCTACCAGTGCTGGGTGCCTGCCAGTCCCCTCCTGCACCCCACCCCATCATCATCAGCCACTGGATGCCCTATGGCTCCCTCTACAATGTGTTACATGAGGGGACAAGTGAGTGCTGGTGGGGATGACGGAGCTGGGGGCAGAGGCTGGTGTCTCCCACCCATGGGAACTTATTTTTCCATGATTTGGGGGAGGGGGAGGCTCTCTGGCTGCAATACTCACTGGCCCTGGGGTGAGCTTGGGCTCCAGGCCCCATGCCTTCACCACACCCATAGTACAAACACTAGTACAACACGCTTCCTACAAGTGACATGGCACCCCCTTCTCACTATCCTCATGCCATTTCCCTCCCTGTAGATTTCGTGGTGGACCAGATGCAGGCAGTGAAATTTGCCTTAGACATTGCACGGGGCATGGCCTTCCTGCATACATTAGAGCCCCTCATTCCGCGCCACCACCTCAACAGCCGCAGTATCATGGTGAGTGTCAGTGCTGTTTGGCCCAGCCCTTCCTCTTGCAGTCTGGTATAGGACAGGCTCCCCTGTGACCACCCCTCTCTTCCCCAGATCGATGAGGACATGACAGCACGGATCAGCATGGCTGATGTGAAATTCTCCTTCCAGTGCCCAGGGAGAATGTATGCGCCAGCCTGGGTAGCACCAGAAGGTGAGCTGCAGGCAGCCAGGGCTGTCCTGCTCCTTGCCCCCTTCCTTGTCCTCAGCCCAATTCAGTTCCCCATGCTGGATCCCTTACAGCCTTGCAGAAGAAGCCAGAGGAAATTAACAGGCGCTCAGCTGACATGTGGAGCTTTGCAGTACTGCTGTGGGAGCTGGTGACCCGTGAGGTGCCATTTGCAGACTTGTCCAATATGGAGATAGGCATGAAGGTGAGGAGCAGGCTGGGGAAAACACACCATTCAAACCAGATCAGCCAGGACATAATTGGGTTTGCAGCAGCCTGCAGGGAGGGGAGGCAGGGCCCAACGAAGGATAGCGCACCTACACCTTCCAGCTGTATCTGCTGCGCCTTTCACCTAGAGAGGGCTGCTCCAGATTTCTGATACTGCTCAACTTTTCCTTTGCTCCCAGGTGGCACTAGAGGGACTACGTCCAACTATCCCACCTGGCATATCTCCACACATCTGCAAACTGATGAAGATCTGCATGAATGAGGACCCAGCCAAGCGTCCAAAGTTTGACATGATCGTGCCCATCCTGGAGAAGATGCAGGAAAAGTAGAGAGGGAGGTGCCTCCCAGCCACCTGCTGCTGCCATGCTTCCCTCCCCACCACCCCCAAGTGCCTTCTTAACCCCAGAGCCAAGGGGGAGCAGGGAATGCCCCCTCACCCTGAGCCAGCCACGGACACACGGTACAGATAATGCTGCCTTCTTTGGAGCTGCTCTGCAGGCTTCAGGCACTGTAGTGCCAAATCTACAGCAGCACCTCCATCCTCCCTGGCAGCTATGGGCACAGACTGAGCAGGAAGCCTGGCCCAGGACACTGAGCATGGCTGGGCTCTGCATGAGGCTGGAGCTGGGCTGTGGAGCCACCTTTCTCTCCTCATCCCCAGGCCCAGAGCAGCTCACCCACTCAACAGTCTCATGTTAGACAAATCCCAGTCCTGGTGCTCTTCCCTACTTAGGGGCAGTGGGGTGAGGCTTGCCTGTTTGCGCCCAGCACCACCCCAGCTTCGCGCTTCACTTTTTATTGTTTCCATCCAGGCCATGTGGAAAAGCCGCCAGCATCTGAAATAAACATTTGTTATGAAAGCTGGCTGCTGGTGGAGGGCTGTGTACTTGCACAGAATGTTGTCCTGTAAAGGGGCAAGGCTGATGTGAGGCCTGCTCAAAACTCAGAGCCCAGGCTCTGATCCTTTGCCTGTACCAAAACTCCTCCAGTAAGTGGGAGCAAGGAAAGCAGCTGGGGCTCATAGCACCATTATCTTTTGAGAGAAGGGCCCAACTTACATCTCCAGTAGTAGCTGTGCAAGGACCAGAGCATTCCTCTGGAAAAACAGCAGGTATGTTTGGGAGGAAGATCTGAAGAAGGCTGGGCAGTTCTAATCCCACTTTGCCTGCTTTCCTTCAGCTACTTGGGGCAGGGCTGAGCTGCCCAGAACTACTGAAAGCTGTAACTAGAATCCACTGGTTGTGAGCCCTACACCAAACTCCTCTCTGCACTGGACTTTCAAAGGCAGAGGACCAACTTTTCACTTATGTAGCAAAAACAGAGGCCCTTGTAAGCCAGCTGACATGCTATTTTACTCATGGCAGACAAGGCATTATTAGCACATGGGCTGGAGACAAGCTGCCTCTGCACCAAAAAAAAAAAAAAAAAAGGCACAGAAACAACCCAACAAAAGTTCCCAGCGACATCCCTCAGTCTTTATGTGAAGTAATGTGGCTTTTTCACATTGATGCCGTATTCTGCAAGTGCTGGTGTCAGGTCCTCCATAGTCAGCGTGTACTTCTTATCCTGCAGGGACAGGGAGTATGGTCAGTTACAGCAAGGACAATCTGAACTGCTGGACATTCCTCAGAAACCTTGTGGGGTTTTTTTTCCCTCTATAAGCTGTGGTGATCCGTACACCCACAATTCCCAGAAAAAGCTGCAGATCAGCATCTTGGGCATTAACCAGTCCTTAAGTACTGAGCATTTCATTTGCTCTCTACCCTCAGCTGCGCAACAAGCACAGAACCGCACTGAGTGTTGCTCAAAGCTATAAATTACATTTCTGTCATAAAGCTCCTGAACCGCAAATAGATGGTGACTGGGAGAATTCCCAGAAACTGTTTCTACACACTTGCTGCCTGTTTATATTTTTCGTTAAGCATCAAGAGGATGCAGGACTACATGGCCCCTAGTCCAATCAAGTGCAGCTACTCAAACGTTCCTGTGAAGCCAAGGCATACTCCTTGAACTCTACTGCCCATTTCATTTTCTCACGAGTATCCCTTTTCCCCTGGCAGAGCCTTTGTCTATCAGCAAGGGTGTCAGGCAGTTGTTCAAGAGCCTTTCAGCAGCACAATAGATTTAAGACGACTTTCCACAACACACATCCCTGCATTCAGTGACAGCAAGTTTAACTTGTTCTCCCCTGGGGCTGCAGCATCTTCCCCCATCAGAGCAGCAGTTCCATCCTTTTCTCACCTTGCTCTTGTTGCGGGAGCTGCCAGAGGCTGTTCCCTTCATCTTGCAGTGCTGCAGCGCATCATTGGCAATGTCAGAAATAAACTTCTGTGCAGCCAGAGAGATCAAACGAATGCTGTCCAGCAGAGAAAGGCAAAGGATAACTTAAGACAGAAAGCACTGAACATGACTGAGGTTAAAATAATTATTTCTTGGGGCCCCAAGCTATCAGAACCTGTACACGATCCTTGTACGTTCCCTGCTATACCAGCTGCCACTTACATGCGTGGATCAGAGGCTTCAAATCCTGCTCTGTTCAGGTAATAGCCTGTGACAGCATCTGGGATCTGCAGAAGAGAAAAGTTACAGTAACTGTTTCCTTTTTGTGGCTTGCAGGGAGCAAAGGCATCCCTTGTCACCAGCACTCAGGCTGCCTACCAGTCCATCCCATTACCGTAGGTGTGTAATCCTCCAACTGCATGAGAAAGTCCACCAGCGGCGTTGTGGAAACCACCGGCTTCACGTCCCCATTGGCCGCGTTAGGAGGCACGTAGACCCCATTGGACATAGCCCCTTCGGAGGGAGCTGCAGCCACTGCAGCAGAGACGGGTACTGCAGGCACAGGGCATTCAGTGGGCAGCTGTCCCCAGCTGCAGCCCTCAGCCCTGCCCGGTCTTTCATGGCCACCTGCTTCCCGGGACCCCAATCACCTACAGGGCCCTGTGCCCCACAGGCACCCAGTAATCATGCAGATGGACACGCTCATGTGCCCCACAACTGGAGGGGATCCCAGCACATGGGGCCCTGTCCCCCATATCCCCCCCATGCTCATGGGCCCCACACCGGAGGGGATCCCGGCACATAGGGCCCTATCCCCCACACCCTCCCATGCTCATGGGCCCCACAACTGGAGGGGATCTCAGCACATAGGGCCCTGTACCCCACACCCCACCATGCTCATGGGCCCCACACCAGGGGGGGACACCCAGCACATAGGGTCCTGTCCCCACACCCACCCATTGCTCCCAGGCCCCACACCAGAGGGGATCCCAGCACATGGGGCCCTG